AATTTCTGGAACTACTACAAATTATATTTATGTATTCTGTGGATATGGATAATGTCTGGAACTATACAATAACCTATCACAAAGTAAATGTGTAAAAATGAGCCAAAAAAGAGCACCTCAAAACTTTCTATGGACATAATCAAAGGCACTTTGCATATTGAGTTGCATTGAATTTCAGATTGCTATCTTGAATGTTTTCTTAGAAATAAACATTCTGACAATTTATTAGGAACTTCTACTGCAAAGCATGGAAAATTCTTCGCCATGTTGACTATGTCAAAGTGACTCAATTTACCATGATAATGAATGTGATAAAAACTTGCATAATAAAAATAATAATAGGCTGCTTTAATTAAAGTGTTTATTACAAATGGTCTCTTGTGTATTTGTCTTTGTATGATGAATGTTCTGGTTGAGTGATAGCAACTATTAGTCACTAAATAGCTGCTATTTGTCACTATCAATTTTGTTTATTTCATGATTTTACAGCATGCACTCTATTTTCACCTCTTTGCAATTATTGTTATTAAAATTTCTTTTTCATATATAAGACCAAACAAGGATTGTAAGAACGAATCTGATTGTAGTTCATTTGCTGAGTCAGCTAAGGGTAGTAACAGGTAGTCTATTAACTTTCATACATGCATGTAGATCAAATCATAATTAATGGAGCGAAATGGTTAGGAAACTCCATAGAACAAAGCTATTGTTTCGCATTTGAGGTTGAACTGTGCCATCACGTGATACTGACTGTGCACAATGGACCAAAGCAACTATGGCTGAATTTCCTTAATTATTTTCATGTATGAACATTTTGAAAGTGAAAACTTTGATGCCATGACCATAAACTATGTGGATAAATATTTCCACGCAGATACAGTTAAGTTACTAGATGATAAGTAAAAAAGCATTAAAAAACGTGTTTTTCTTGCAATAAACAATTAATGTTAATCATATAGGATTAATTCACAAGTAATAACTATTTTAGAATGATGTTTTTAGGGGAAAAAACTTATATATTCCAAAATACTGTGAACAAACGGAGCAACTTATCCTTCTCTGTGCACTGTCAATGCATATGACAATGGATAAAGTCAAACAAATACATAGAACAATAGCTTCCCCAACCATTCCACTCCATTAACTATGATCAGATTTCTTATCATATTTCTTATTTTCAATTTCCTAAAATAATAGAAAATACATGCATGCAGCTAAGATTATGCTTTTTGTATTCTTATTCTGGTATCCCACAGTGTAAAAGCAGTCCTCCAAATTACAATCAAATTATTTGGCAAGCTAAGAGCCTGTGAATCTGATGGAAAAGAGAGGATTGTCGACATGATCAAGAAAAAGATTGAAGAAACCGACAGCTGCCAAAAGGCAAAAGATACAGATTTTCTCTTTTTCAAGAGAGTGTCAGATGAAGCTTATCTAAACATTGGAGCACCAGCAGGAGTACTTCACGAAGGAGTAGTATACGAGTGTATTTTTAAGAAGCAAATAGGAAGAAGAACTACAGATATGATGAGATCATACAATGCAGAAATGTTTGACAAAAACTGGGCAATGAAAAGTTTTTATGTCAAACTTTCGGATGTCACATTCTCTGTTAGCTACTTCCAGAAGTTCAAGAGTATTGGAAAAGTTTTGGTAGACTTTTTTCCTGGTGAAACTTTGTATGAAGCCTTATACAGAGATGGGAGGTTCAAAGAGCGTACTAAAGATGGCTTGGTCATTTGCAGTTGTGACTTCTTGACCCCAAATGATGTAGAAATAAGCCTAGGTGATCAAGCCTCAAACCATGCTCAAGAAGTTTTAAAATTTAAGAAGAGAAAGGTCATTAATAGTAAACTTGATCCAAAAGTCTCACCCTTACCTGAACCTCATTTCCAAATGAATGACCATGTAATGGCAAGCAATATGGAACCTGTAACACCATTGAAGGGTGACAGAAGTAATACTGAATACCTATCAACTCCAACTTCAAATCCACTTTCCAGTACTCCAGCTCCCAGGAATCATAAAAACCTTCACACTCTTGAAGGATTGACCATTTATTTAAAGGAGAAATTGGGTCTAGAAATCATCAAGCAGAGTGATGAATATAAGGAAGAGACCAACAAGAGTAATGAAATAAAGGAGGCGAAAAAAAAGAATGACAGAATTTTCAAGAAGCACTATGAAAACTTTGCTTTACATTACAGTCACCGGGTGTATCTTTCAGACTTGGAAGATACTATCAGACTGATGAAACATTCTATTGGTGCGATAATTGCTACAAATGTTAGTAATGTAAAAGCATGTGGAGCAACTTGTTTTAGGATAGGGAGCAAGTATGTCATCACCAACAAGCATGTTGTTGATAAATTAGTCGATATGGGCATCAAATTTGATAGATGTTATGTTGATTTCAACTATGAAGAAAAAGGGCAATGTGGCTATTGTTTTAATTTCGCATCTAACCATGTGTTGGTATCCTCTGAAGAGCTGGACTATGCCATCCTAGAGTTAAATCCAGAAGGCAGAAAACTTCCAAAAAGTATAATTGATCCTGAGTCTGGGTTTAACATTGCTCCACCTGGTCGTCAGCTTCAAGCTGGAGAATGTTTAACGTTCATCGGGCACCCTGGTGGACTTAAAAAGCAAATGGAGGTTTCCTGTCCAATCAAGCATAGAGATGAAATTGAAGAACACCTGGTTCTGGCATTTCAAACACTGAATGAGAAGGAGTTTCAGGAACACAGATTCCGAGTTCGTATGGCTGAAAACGATCCCAATTCTGCTCTCTATGATGTGAGTATGTTCTTTCATGGATCTTCCGGTTCTCCTGGCTTTCTAATGCAAGAAAAGCTGTTGGTAGTCCTACATAGCCGAGGAATTCCTTACAAAGGAAACAAGAATTATTTTGTCGTCGAAGAAGGTATATTGATGGCATCTGTGGTCAAGGATGTCATGACAAAGATAAATAGGCATGAAGTACTAGGAAGATTGGGAGATATCTTTGGTGAGTTTACTGCAAAAAACTTTGATCCAGAGGAAATGGATATTGAATATGAATAAACTGTGTAACAAAAAGCTGTTTTGATGTCAGGAATCGTTGAAGAGAAATAAGAAAATCAAGTGTTTGAGTGATGTTTCTTGCACATCGCCCAAATGAATTTTTTTGCCTTCAGCTTGTTTTTAATGTCTTTTCTTAGACAGATAATGTGGCAGCTTTATAACAGTTTTCTAGCTGAAAAAAATTGTAAAGAGACTGTACATATAAATATAATTACTTCACTTTATCCCCAAGTGAGACCAGAAATCATATTAAGCCATTCAGTTGGGGTTTTAGCACAGTAGTAACTTTATAGTACCTGCATTCAAAAATATTCAGAAGGCGCGAAGAGCGTTAGTTTGGGTTAGATTGCAGAGCAGAGAGGATTAGCCTATATTTTAAAGAGGGTAGAGACGAATTAACCACAAAGATTTATCTAACATACGGCCCTCTGAGATCTGATTCTTAGATCGAATTTGAATTTAGAATTTTTCATTTTTACGGAGAGAAAAAGCCCGGCGAAAAACTCGCAGGATAGAAGAGAACAACACATCAAAACTCAACTCACATCATACTCAGTCAGATTTCATTTTAGCTCGTTTTGCTGCGTTTTTGATGAAAAAGGAGACAAATCTATTTAATCATATAAATGCAAATTATGCTTTACTGAAGAAATAGAAAGCGCGTGCTGTGTGCTCTCATAAAGCACGCCCTCCCAACCAATCAGAACGCGAGATTTATAACAGTAATTTTATAAGATGTTTTACAGCAGAGAGTTGCGGATCCCGCTCATTTTTTCCAACTGTTTACAGCATTTCATCTTCTCGTGAAGGATCTTACTAGTAGACGTCACCTTAGACTAAAAAAGTGTGAGTTTAGTAGCATGGTAGCAGTGTTTGGTGTAGCAGTTATTATTTTATTCAATTTTCCATCCTACTATTTTTATCTCTAGGCACGCATGGCTAATGAAGTGTCTGGTAAAAGGTAAAAAAGTTTTTTTGGATTTTTCGAAATAGATAAAGAAAGCACTTTTTTAAATACACTTTTTTTCACGATTTAATAAACTACTATCTATTAAATATTAAGTAAGTCATCTAGTCAACAGCTATTATTATCAATTATATCATTCAGTTTATTGCATGTATTTAGACTCATTTAGTATATAAAGCCACAAAACATCTTTTACAATCCTATGAAATAGGTGCTTAATAGACCATACTTCGTTTTGTTGGCTTTAAAAAAAAAAAATGTAATGGTCAGAACATAATGAAAATAGTTTTTTAAATGTGTAGTTTATAAAATATATCAAAAAGATATGTAAGTTGTCTCATTCTTAAATTGTAGTTAAAATTTTATTGATTAAAGTGTAAGAAAAAATGTTTTTTTTTGCTTCACCTTTATTTCTTTTGCTTTTACTTTCTCGGACTGAAGTCGAGTCGTTAGCCCAGAAAGGAAGGGGGAAGATAATAGAGAGGAAAATCTTTGGGATATATACTTATTTCAATGAAGTTAGTAACCTGAAAAGCTAAAAAGGCGAGAGCGACAAGGATTATGGGTGGATACATTTTACATGTTTGTTGATGGACTTGCACATCTTTTAGCAGTTACAGTCTCACCTCTTCTGAGCATCCTCAAGCTGCAATTTGTATCAAAAGCTTTACTTGTTTGATATAAAACGTTTTCCAGTGATCTCAGCTTTCTAGGTTTTCGGTGACTAACTTTATTGAAATAAGTGTATATGAGATAAATACAAATTGAAATAAGTGATAAAGTCTTTCTGTGTGCCCAAGTCTTTCTACGCCTGACAACGCAATTTCAGATTTTTTTCACGGGGTTCCTACTTAAATATCATCCACGCTACAAACAGTAACATTTGAATGAACTTGATCCGCTGATAAAGATGCAGTACCTCATGACGGGCCACAAAGACCTGCAACATATCTGCATCTCAAAATGAAATGGTGCATATTGCAGCCCCTCGATGCAAAATCCTATATTGTGTAAAATAGAAAAGATTTTCAATTCGTTGCATGAGCAGGCGTTGCTAAGACATGCGGTGAAACATCGAGTGCAACACGACTTGCAGTGTTTGTGTCTATCCTTGAACTGAAACTTGTTGCTTCTAGCATTTCAGACCTCATAGAATTGAATTCTACTTCTGTACTCTTGCGCGCAACAAGTTTCATCGTATGAATTCAACTTGCAACGTTGCTGGTAATGGAGTGCCTCAGCCAGTTAAAGTGTATCACTGACTCGAACTGGGTAGCGTTCCGCTTGCACGTTACAAGTCAGAGTGCGCGTACGCGGTACATCAACTTATGGTAGAACTTTTACTAACCAATCAGAGTGTGTGTAACTACTTTCTAGCTAGACGTCTAATCGCCGCATGATTACTAACGAGGCTTAGGCTCGGAGAACCGCATATTTTTCTTCATCTCCCTTAAAAAGTTAGTAAACTAACCCTTCGTGAAACATCCAAACTTGTCTCAACTGAAATTTATTTGAACAAAAATGAAACAAGAATTTTATGGCATCTCAATGACATCTTAAAAATAATATTTTCTCAGTGTTACATAGCAACCGATTTACTCCCGTTTTTTCTCGTAACACCATGATGATGTTAACTATGAAAACTGGCACTTTCTTTTTATCTTCAGTTTATATTTATGATTGATCTGTTAGTGACCAGGGGTGAATGAAGTGGCGGCTGTCTGCAACGAGTGAGCCATTTAACTCCCTGGCAACACGTCTTATGATGTGCGCATAACAAGAAACTATCCTTTATATAGCTCTTTAAAACAATTAAAAAACGATTTTGTTGCACTTAATAACAAAGTGGGTTAGTTTAAAAAATGAAAAGTGACGTGCTTTAAATTGTTCATATTAAAACAAACAGCCCGATAACGCATGTTTATATAAAGTAAATAATGAAATACTTATGCACTGTTTGTTCAGCAAAAGATCGTCCACCTCTGCGACAAAGCTAGATAAGTATTACACCTTTTCTTCATTCTTTTCCACTTAGGATAGCGAATTAAATGAGGAATGACGTAGATCATGCGTGTAGCAAAAGCAGACACTCCTAAGTAATCAACACTGCAGGTAATAGCAACAATGATGTATTAAAAGACACACAACACGCTGGACCAGACAAGTAATAAAACCCTCATTTCAGTATTCTATAGCAATAAAAACTTACTCAATTCCAATTTTAAAAGTGATTACATGTGTGTGTTTATGTATGAGGCAGGATATTGTCTCCACTTGCGATTACGATCAAATATTGCTTCAGGAAATTACCGATATTTTCTGTCTTATCTTTTCTTCTTTCTTGCCGAGATCATTTTCTAGATTCAAGGTTTTTTTGTATGAGGTGTCAATAATCAATTGATCAGCTTTCACCTACGTATATGGATATCTTTCGAATCATTTTTACATTACATTTTTCTAAATGTCTTTTTATTTAAGTATATTCTAAAAGGCGCCTTAAACTGTTGTCGTTCTTTTTGTTCCTTTTCAGTTCTTTATAATTTTGCTATAGTAACATTTATGGCGACTTTCTTTTTTTTCCAACTGTTAATATTGTTGCCATAGAAAAGAATAAAGGAGTTATTCATGTCATTACTGTATGACCAAATCTATTTAAATTACGTTGAAAAAAGTACAAAATTTAAGCAAACAGTTCTATAAGCTCAGTGTGGTCTAAGTGACTGGCGGCACACGAGGCAATCGGCAGTCATCTTGGGATCTAGATAGCGCTCACTTTTATTAACTACAACCTTAACGGTTAGGTTTGAAGAGCTTTGACTTTCACTGGTTGCGACCTTCTGATTAGGAACTACCAAAGATATTGCTAGCCGGTACACTAATAGAGGCAGAGTCGATCTTATTTCCATTGTTATAATTTTTTTTTTTTTTTTTTTGACTATTATACACTAACTACTATAAACTGTTTCATGGTATGACGAAATTAAATCACTTTAACAATTGTTTTTCAATTTTTCCCAGATGTATGGTTGCATACAGTGGTTTAATGTTGAAAGCATTTGAATAGTGTGTTGTCAGCAATGCCTGTCACTCGGATGTCAGTTTGGTCTGTAAATGCAGCAGGGCGCATTTGCACGATTCTTTAATTTTTTTCGTTCACATGGATACATAAAGGACTGTGCAATAATTATCAGGAAGGGGGGCTGAAAAATGAGATATATCAAGCAAAAGATTAGGCAGTACCCCCTTTAAAAACAAAATTTTTAGTTCTTACCCCCTGTTATGTTAA